ATTTTACATTGTTCATGCAATATATAGTTGTTGAATAATAATGTTACAATTTTAGCCTTTGTTTGAGGTCAATACAATGTTATATCGACCTAGGGAAGCTTATCGACCTTTGTCCTCAGTCCATATGCTTCTCTTAGGTCGATATTATGATATTATTACATGATTATTTCTGTATTGGCTTTGTTATTGGTCCGAGGCTTACTGTATTGGCCTGAGGCGAAGCCGAAAGCTTTAGATAAACATGCTCCTGTTGTTAAAAAGAGAGTTAAAAGGGACAGACAGCCTGAATGGTATAACAGTGAAATCATTTACGCTAGGAATATGAGAGATAAATATAATGCACTTGGTTTATGGAGTGAGTATAGATTTTGGAGAAATAAAACTAAACATATCATAGATAGCTCAAAAAAGAATTATTATAAAAATATGGTAAAAGACTCCAATGACCCTAAAACTTTATGGAAATGTCTTCACAGTCTGAACCCAAAAGTTAAAAATACACCATATGAGTTAGCCACAGAAGATAACAATACAACTAAAAGTAAAAAATCAATAGCAGAAACTTTTAATAACTTTTTCACTTCCTGTGCTGAAAAATTAAGAGAACAAGGAAGTTATACACCTGTAAACAAAGCAGATTTCAGTAATCTTGGTAAATTTGTTATAAATAAATTACATAAACATGATAAATTTTCTATACCACCAGTGATCATGAATGAGCTATTTAATGAGTTAACAAAACTTGATATAAACAAAGCATCTGGTATGGATAATATAGGACCAAAAATTCTAAGATTAAGCGCCCCTGTTATTGCATCACCTCTCACATACATATTTAATCGAATGATAGATACTGGTATATATCCTTCTTTACTGAAAAATGCTAAGGTAACACCAGTTTTCAAGGATAGTGACAAGCTTTTAGCAACAAATTACAGACCTATATCTGTTCTTCCAACTTTATCAAAATTAATAGAAAGACATGTTTCTAATAATATGTACAAATACTTATCTAAACTTAAACTTTTACACCCTACACAATCTGGTTTCAGGCCGCAGCATTCTTGTCAAACTGCACTTATTAATATCATTGACAAATGGTTGCAAGAAATGAATGATGGTAATTTAAACCTAGCAATTTTATTAGATTTTAAAAAAGCTTTTGATTTGGTAGATCATGACATTCTTTGCTTAAAGCTTGAAATTTATGGATTTAGTGAGGCTTCTGTTAGTTTTTTCAAGTCATACCTGAATAACAGAAAACAGCAGGTAAACATTTGTAATGTTTACTCTAAACAACAACATGTAAAATTTGGTGTACCCCAAGGTTCTATACTTGGTCCTCTATTGTTTGTGCTATTTATAAACGACCTTCCCTTATGCATTGAAAATTGTGAAACAGACCTATATGCTGATGTAGTGATGACACCACTCTTCATAAATCAGGGAAAAACATAGAAAATATACATGATCATGATGATGATGTTCAAGAAGATTTATACAGGGTTGAAGAGTGGTGCAAAATGAATAACATGTTCATTAATGAAAACAAAACAAAATGATTGGTTACTGGAACAAAGCAGAAACTATCAATTCAGACTTATCAACCAAACTTGATAATAAATTCAAAAGTATTACAAAATTCTTCATGTGAAAAATTATTAGGTGTTAAAATTGACAGCACACTTAGCTGGAGAAATCAAATTGACCAAGTTTGTGCTAATATATCATCCAGAATATACCTTCTTTCTAAAATAAAGAAATTTTTAGATATAAATGCAAGGAAAACATATTACAATGGGTATATTCTGCCCCTGATTGACTACTGCTGTATTATTTGGGGTGAATGTAAAAATGAAGGGATAACAAGAATTTTAAAACTCCAAAAAAGGCCCTTATTTAAAGAACTTGGGTGGATGACAGTTGACAATAGAATCAAATACCACAAATATTTACTTCTATATAAATGTATGCGTATGGAAGCTCCAATGTACCTAGTTCAAAAGTTTAAACTGAAATCAGATAATAATCCTTACTCCTTGAGAGGTGTCACTCAAGGTAATATGATAGTTCCTAAGCCAAAAGCTGAGCTATTTAAGAAATCTTTTGTTTATTCTGGATCAGTGTTATGGAATGGACTACCACACAAAATGCATAAAGCTCAAAACACTTATACTTTTAAACAAAGTATCAAGAAGTACTTAACACAGTCCTGATAAGATTATGTTTTCTACAATGGATTTGTATATTCTTTTATTTTTATTTTTATTTGATTTTTTGACTACATGTGCATCTTGAACAGCCTTATATCGTATCATGTTAGTAATATTACATTGATTTGATTTGTATTGTAATTTGTATGTGAGGGCCTCAGGGAAGATTAGTTTATTGTAACTAACTGAGTTTACCCTCTTTAAATAAAGAATTTATTATTATTATTATTATTATTATATATAATACAGCTGGCTGAGGACCAATAACAAGGCCAACACAGAAATAATCACCAGGGGTGTGGAAATATTTGTTGTGACCACTTGTCCCCGGGCAAGTAAAATTGTAAATTTTACTTGTCCGAAAGTAAAGTTACTTGCCCTGATTTCTTAATGAATTTTGGAATGAAGATGTATTTTTCTGTTAACGTGTATGTTTCTAAAACAGTTCTGAAACCATCCCCAAGACAACACTAAATTAAAGAATCTAGAGGCCTGGACCTAGGAGATTATATCATGACTTATAGTTTATTCACGGTGAGCCAGTGCAAAATTTTCTAGTTAATGAAGAGGTGAAACCAAATAAATGATGACTTATTGAATTGTTGTATGCACCCCCTCCTTATCCTCCCAATAAACTTTTGGTGGACCAATTGTAAATTTTAGATTTTTTAGATAACTAATTATAAGTGAAATCAAAATATTATAGAAAATTTAAAATCCTCTATTCTGTTTATTTTTATAATATTTGCGCTTTGCCGCCTCTGATTTCCCTTTCTTGTAAAAACTAAGTTCTTAGCTCAAAATTTTATTTTTAATGAGGCTCCTCCTTTTCCGTTGGTCAACTTCCGAGCGATGACGTATCCAATACTTATCCAACTTGACTGAGAAATCAGTGCTCGAAATTAATAATGATCATTTCCGGTTTACCGTTGCTATAACCTGATCAACGATCCTGGGTCGATGGGAAAATATTACACAATATTAATGAAACCCGGGTCGGCATACTTATTTTTTGTAGTTTGGTAATCAAACTATTTCTTGATCATTGATGTTGTTTTACTAAAACATGTTGCTTTCGTCTTGTTATTTTATATTTTTTCTACTTTTATGAATGAATTTTGAGGACTTTTTTTATATGATAATATAAATTAACAATGTGACTTTGTCAAGCAATTTTTTTTTAATTTGTCCACGGACAACAAAGACACAAAAAATTGCTTGTCCTGTCGGTCAAATGTACGAGTCGGGCATGGCATTTCCACACCCCTGCGTTCTAGAGTTATGCCCCTTTACAAATGGATATATTGCTGAATTTTTCGTTTCTGTTCTCTAACTTTAGTTTGCCTCAACCAAATGTTATGAAACTTATACAAAATTTATATCATGTATATTACCACAAAACACAGATCAAGTTTGAAATCTGGTGGTGTCACTTTAACCGTTCTAGAGTTATGCCCCTTTACAAATGGAAAAAATCCTAAATTTTTAGTTTCTGTTCTCTAACTTTAGTTTGCCTCAACCAAATGTTATGAAACTTATACACAATGCTTATTAAAACAAAATACAGATCAAGTATGCATTTTGGTGGTGTCACTTTAACCGTTCTAGAGTTATGCCCCTTTATAATTTGAAAAACTGCTTAATTTTTGCGTTTCCTTTCTCTAACTTAAGTTAGCCTCAACCAAATGTTGTGAAACTTATACACAATACAGTTCCTATTACCACAAAACTCAGATCAAGTACAAATTTGGGTAGCGTCACTTTTACCGTTCATCAGTTATGTCCCTTTATAACTATATATGATATGCAAGCGGGGGCATCATCTGTGTCCCATGGACACATTCTCTATTTATTTTGTATTAGTTGATATTGGCTTTGAACTCTCTGTTAGTAACTGCCAGTATTCTCAGATCTATGCTTACTAGTGTCTTTTTTGTTGTCAAGGATGAGGGATGGATAAATACCCTGCCAAGTCTGGTCTGTGTTTTTTTGGGATGTTTTTCTGCTTTGTGTGGATCTGATGAGTTTAAAACGTTTGGCTTATTGTTTTTTGTAAATTGTTTAGCTATAAATTAGGCCGTTAGTTTTCTCAATTGAATTAATTCATATTTTTCATGTCGGGGCCTTTTATAGCAGACTATACGGTATGGGTTTTTTTCTCATTGTTGAAGGCTGTACGGTTGCCTATAATTGCTTTTATCCACTTCATTTGAACTTAGGTGGATAGTTGTCTCATTGGCAATCATACCACAGCTCCTTATTTTTATCATATGTGATCAAGTTTAAGCAAATCACAAATCCTTAAAAACATTGGATTAATACTATAACCTTGTATCGACCTCATACAAAGACTATAACTGTATAATCATGATCATGATAATAGCCTTGTATGAGGACCACCTGCAATATATATTATATATTCCTGTATACCAAAACCAATAACTATGTCCATTCTTACAATAATTCTGATTTATTTGTAGTCCCTTATTGGAATGACCAAATTCAACTCGGGAAAACGATGGCAGAGAAATTGGTTCACATTTTGGTATGTGCTGTTCTGGATATCAGCCTGTGATCTACCCTTCTGGTTCCAGAGACGAGCTGCAATGTACCAGGGTTGATTAAAGGTAAGTCTCCTGAGACCAGCTGCATGTACCAGGGTTAATTAAAGGTAAGTCTCCTGAGACCAGCTGCATGTACCAGGGTTAATTAAAGGTAAGTCTCCTGAGACCAGCTGCATGTACCAGGGTTAATTAAAGGTAAGTCTCCAGAGACCAGCTACAATGTACCAGGGTTTATTAAAGGTAATTCTGTGACCAGCTACAATGTACCAGGGTTGATTAAAGGTAAGTCTCCTGAGAACAGCTACATGTACCAGGGTTAATTAAAGGTAATTCTGAGACCAGCTGCAATGTACCAGGGTTAATTAAAGGTAAGTCACCTGTGACCAGCTGTAATGTACCAGGGTTAATTGAAGGTAAGTCACCTGAGATGAGCTGTAATGTACCAGGGTTAATTATAGGTAAGTCACCTGAGACCAGCTACAATGTACCAGGGTTGATTAAAGGTAAGTCTCCTGAGACCAGCTGTAATGTACCAGGTTTAATTAAAGGTAAGTCTCCTGAGACCATCAGGGCCTTGGTGGCAGAGTGGTCTAAGTAGTTACTACTGTAATCACTAGCCAGTCAACACTGAGGTTGTGAGTTTGAACCCCGCTCATGCAGGTGCACGGGACTCCAATCTTAATTGACTAGGATTGTCAGTTTTCCTATCGAAGGTCGGTGGTTTTATCCAGGCACTCTGGCTTTCTCCACCAATAAAAACTGGCCGCCACGAAATAGCTCAAAAGCAGTGCTTAAAAGTGGCGTTAAAAACACAAAAAATCAAAAATCAGAATCCTGAGACCATCTACAATGTACCAGGGTTTATTAAAGGTAAGTCTCCTGAGACCAGCTACAATGTACCAGGGTTAATTAAAGGTAAGTCTCCTGAGACCAGCTGTAATGTGCCAGGGTTGATTAAAGGTAAGTCTCCTGAGACCAGCTACAATGTACCAGGGTTAATTAAAGGTAAGTCTCCTGAGACCAGCTACAATGTACCAGGGTTGATTACAGGTAAGTCTCCTGAGACCAGCTACAATGTACCAGGGTTGATTACAGGTAAGTCTCCTGAGACCAGCTGTAATGTACCAGGATTGATTAAAGGTAAGTCACCTGTGACCAGCTAGCCTACAATGTACCAGGGTTGATTACAGGTAAGTCTCCTGAGACCAGCTACAATGTACCAGAATTAATTAAAGGTAAGTCACCTGTGACCAGCTACAATGTACCATGGTTGATTAAAGGTAAGTCTCCTGAGACCAGCTACAATGTACCAGGGTTAATTAAAGGTAAGTCTCCTGAAACCAGCTACAATGTACCAGGGTTAATTAAAGGTAAGTCTTTTCCTTGATTGTGACACCCCCTTTATGAGAATAACTGAATTTATACTTATGTACATGTTCAATGAGCAACACTAACGGATGCCACTAATAAAGCATAATTTGCATACCCTTGGGAGAACCTTAAATCACCCCCAGTTTTTGATGGGGTTAACCCTTGGGAGAACCTTAAATCACTCCCAGTTTTTGATGGGGTTTACCCTTGGGAGAACCTTAAATCACCCCCAGTTTTTGATGGGGTTTACCCTTGGGAAAACCTTTAATCACCCCCAGTTTTTGATGGGGTTTATGGTGCTTAGTCTTTTTTTTTCTATGTCAGATGTATGCGGTATTTTATGAACTTGTTTGTCTTTTCTTAGTTCTTGGTTTTAATACGACTGCAAATCGTATATTGGTATGACGTTGGCGTCGTCGTCGTATTCCGAAGACACATTGGTTTTCGCACAATAACTTTAGTTTAAGTGAATTGATCTCTATGAAATTTTACCATAAGGTTCAATACCACAGGTTGGGATTGATTTTGGGGGTTATGGTACCAACTGTTAAGGAATTAGGGGCCAAAAGGGGCCAAAAATAAGCATTTTTGTAACATTCAGACAATAACTTGTGTTTAAGTGTATGGAACTCTCTGAAATTATACCACAAGTTTCCATACCACAAAGGGATTGGCTTTGGGGGGTTATGTCTCAAATCGTTTAGGAATTAGGGGCAAAAAAGGGTGAAAAACAAGGGTTTCCTGGTTAATGGACAATTTAAAAGCAGTGTAAGGGAGGTAATCCAAATTCATTTAAAGTATTTAAAAAAAAATTGGATTACCTCCCTTACATTGCTTTTAAATATGTATAAAGATGTTGTATTGTCTTGAGGTGATTAGCTGTCAATTAACTTTTAGAAGTTACTATTAAAGGAATATTAATTTTAGCCATGATTATGTATGTCATTTTCTATTTTAAGACTTTTATGATGTATTTAAATTGGTAATTATGGTTGCAAACTCCATTGGAAATTTGAATTGAGATTATGACCATATCTTGAGGGAAAGAATTTTTTTTTTTTGGAAAAAGGGGGGGGGGGAGGTGAAAAAAAATTGAGGGGGGGGGGGGGCAATTTTCTCATTTCAGATTTCAGAAATTAAAAAGAAAATTTCTTCAAATATTTTTTTTTTTGCAAAATAAAGGGGTTGGGGGATGTCAATACGCAACAGCATGGTGTATTGCACAAAAGCAAAATATTGAATATAAATTCAAATCAAATAACCAATTCTAAGTTCTTTGACCACAGTTATTCTGTGTCAGAAACCTATTATGTGTCAAATATTTAATTACAATCCAAATTCAGACCTGTATCAAGCACGAATATTGTGTCCATTTTTGCCCCAACTGTTCAGGGTTGGACCTCTGCGGTCATATCCAGCAGCGCTCAGCGTAGTATTTTATTATAAGACTGTCTTTAAATACGGTATGAATTATGGTAGACCGTTGTCTGTCCATCTGTAGTCAAGTAGTCAACACTTAGGACAATAACCCTTTTACCAATTTTCATTAAACTTTGGTGAACTATTTATATCTATTGAAGTGGAATGCTTTTGGTTTTTATAAACTTTAGATTTTACTTTTCCGAGTTATGGGATTTTATTCATAATAGGGGATTTTGTTGCTTTCTGACCATCACTCAAAAATGCTGTGAGCAATTTTCACAAAACTTTGGTTCATTGTTTGAAAATATATTGTCAAAGTTTCCTTTTGTTCAATAGTAATCCATTTTCTGTTTTTTTTTCTTTCAGAAAAGCAGAGTGATGATTGGAAGAGTCAAGACAGAACTTTATAGAGAATGAATGGAACATTTGATTTTAATGTTGACTTTGATAGATTGTATAAATAAAACAAAAATTTTGTGATCTTGTTTTATAATCTTGATTTGTCTGTCACAAGTAAGACTGATATTAAAGTAGCCTTCACTGGCATAACACTATCCCTCAGCAAGATAACACTATCCCTTACCAGGATAACACTAGCTTTCACCAGGATAACACTTCCTTCACTGGGAAAATATTTTCCCTCAGCAAGATAACACTATCCCTCACAAGGATAACACTAGCTTTCACCAGAATAACACTAGCCTTCACTTGGACAACACTATCCATCATCAGGATAACTATTCTTCACATGGTTAACGCTATCCCTCTTCAGGACAACACTATCCTCCACCAATATAGCACTAGCCTTCACTGGGAAACCCCTATCTCTCACCAGGATAACACTAGCTTTCACTTATATAACACTATCCCTCACCAGGACAACACTTCCATACCAGGATAACACTAGCTTTCACCAGGATAGCACTAGCCTTCACTGGGATAACACTATCCCTCACCAGGATAACATTATTCTTCACCAGGATAACACTATCTCTCACCAGGACAACACTATACCTAACCAGAATAACAAGAGCTTTCACCAGGATAACACTAGCCTACACTGGGATAACACTATCCATCACCAGGAAAACTATTCTTCACCAGGATAACACTAGCCTTCACTGGGATAACACTATCCCTCACCAGGATAAAACTATTCTTCACCAGGATAACACTAGCCTTCAATGGGATAACACTATCCCTCACCAGGATAACACTACTCTTCACCAGGATAGCACTAGCATAAGCCTTCACTGGGAAACCCCTATCTCTCAGCTGGATAGCACTAACCTTCACTGGGATAACACTCTCCCTCATCCGAATAATACCAGCGTTCACCTGGATAACACTATCCCTCATCAGGATAATACTAGCTTTCACCAGAATAAAATTATTCTAATCTGAGATTACGCTATAAAAAAGAAGATGTGGTATGATTGCCAATGAGACAACTATCCACCAGAGCAGTGTTCTCAAAAACTGGCCCTCAATAACATCAGGTAGGTCCACCAGTAATGGGTGTAGTGTTGGTCCTGACCACCAAATATCCGGTAGGTCCACTAGTGTTGAGTGTGGTGGTCCCGATGTCCTGTCTGTACTGACCACACAATATCAGATAGGTCCACTAGTTATGAGTGTAGTGGGGTTCCCAATGTCCTGTCTGTCCTAACCACAAATTATATGGTAGGTCCACCAGTTTTGAGTTTACTGGTAGTCCCAATGTCCTGTCGCTCCTGACCACCAAATATATGGTAGGTCCACCAGTTTTGAGTTTAGTGGTAGTCCCGATGTCCTGTTGGTCCTGACCACCAATTATAGGGTAGGTCCACCAGTTTGGAGTTTACTGGTAGTCCCAATGTCCTGTCGGTCCTGACCACCAAATATATGGTAGGTCCGCCAGTTTTGAGTTTAGTGGTAGTCCCGATGTCCTGTCGGTCCTGACCACCAAATATATGGTAGGTCCACCAGTTTTGAGTTAAGTGGTAGTCCCGATGTCCTGTCGGTCCTGACCACCTAATATATGTTAGGTCCACCAGTCTTGAGTGAAGTGGTGGTCCCTATGTCCTGACCACTAAATATCAGATGGGTCCACTAGTTTTGAGTGTAGAATTGGTCCTGATGTCCTGTCCGTGCTGACCTACAAATATCCGGTAGTTCCACTAGTTTTGAGTGTTGAACCTGATGTGCTGTCTGTGCTGACCACCAAATATCAGATAGGTCCATAATTTTGAGTGTAGTATTGGTCCTGATGATCTATCTTTACTGACCACCAAATATATGGTAGGTCCACCAGTTTTGAGTGAAGTGGTGGTCCCTATGTCCTGACCACTAAATATCAGATGGGTCCACTAGTTTTTGAGTGTAGTATTGGTCCTGATGTCCTGTCCGTCCTGACCTACAAATATCCGGTAGTTCCACTAGTTTTGAGTGTAGTATTGGTCCTGATGTCCTGTCCGTCCTGACCTATAAATATCCGGTAGTTCCACTAGTTTGAAGTGTAGTATTGGTCCTGATGATCTGTCTGTACTGACCGCTAAATATCAGTTAGGTGCACCAGTTATGAGTGTAGTGTTGGCCCTGACCACCAAATAGCCGGTAGGTCCACTAGTTTTGAGTGTAGTGTTGGTCCTGATGTCCTGTCTTTACTGACCACCAACTATTCGGTAGGTCCACTAGTTTTGAGTAGTGTTGGTCCTAATGTCATGTCGGTCCTGACCACCAAACATCAGGTAGGTCCATCAGTTTTGAGTGTAGTAGTGGTCCCGATGTCCTGTCGATCCTGACCACCAAATATCAGGTAGGTCCACTAGTTTTGAGTGTAGTAGTGGTCCTGATGTCCGGTCGACCCTGACCACCAAATATCCGGTAGGTCTACTAGTTTTGAGTGTAGTGTTGGTCCTGATGTCCTGTCCGTCCTGACCTCCAAATATCCGGTAGGTTCCCCAGTTTTGAGTGTAGTGTTGGTCCTAATGTCATGTCGGTCCTGACCACCAAATATCAGACAGGTCCACCAGTTTTGAGTGAAGTGGTGGTCCTGACCACCAAATATCAGAAAAAGTCCTCCAGTATTGAGTGTAGTGTTGGTCCTGATCACCAAATATCAGACAGGTCCACCAGTTTTGAGTGAAGTGGTGGTCCTGATGTCCTGTCTGCACCGACCACCAAATATCAGATACGTCCAACAGTTTTGAGTTTAGTGTTAGTCCTGATGTCCTGTCTGTACTGACCACCAAATATCAGGTAGATCCATTTTGGGTGTAGTCGTAGTCATGATAGCCTGTCGGTCCTTACCACCAAATATATGGTAGGGCCACTAGTTTGGAGTGTACTGTTGATCAAATGGAAGTTATAACATCAACGACACCTGTCAAGCTGGACAAGGAACCTCAGCCATGCATGAGGTGGATATGTATGTTTATTACTTGTTTAAGTTTTGATCATATTTCCAAATGTTACAACTACTCTGGCGTTAAAAAAACCATGAATAAACTCATCATAGATACCAGGATTGAAACTTTGTACGGCAGACGCGCGTTTCGCTAAAAAAAGACTCATCAGTGACGCTCGAATAAAAAAGTTAAAAAAGGGGGGTGTGTGACAAATTAGGCAGTCAATGAAGGGGGAAGTAGGTACGAAGAAGATAATCAGTGCGGGGGAGGGAGGTACGAGGTAGGCAATCAATAGAGGTCGGATACGAATTAAGCAATTAATAAAGGGGGAAGTAGGTACGAAGTAGATAATCAAAGCCGGGGAGGGAGGTACGAGGTAGATAATCAAAGCCAAGGAGGGAGGTACGAGGTAGGCAATCAATAGAGGGCGGATACGAATTAAGTAATTAATAAAGGGGGAAGTATGTACGAAATAGGCAATCAATGTGGGGGGGGGGGGAGGTACGAGGTAGGCAATCAATAGAGGGCGGATACGAATTAAGTAATCAATGAAGGGGGAAGTAGGTACGAAGTAGATAATCAATGCCGAGGAGGGAGGTAGGCAATCAATAGAGGACGGATACGAATTAAGTAATCAATGAAGGGGGAAGTAGGTACGAAGTAGATAATCAATGCCGAGGAGGGAGGTACGAGGTAGGCAATCAATATAGAGGACGGATACGAATTAAGTAAAAAATGAAGGGGGAAGTAGGTACGAGGTAGATAATCAATGCGGGGGAGGGAGGTACAAGGTAGGCAATCAATAGAGGACGGATACGAAGTATATAATCAATGAAGGAGGTAGTAGGTACGAAGTAGATAATTAATGCGGGGAGGGAGATACGAGGTAGGCAATCAATAGAGGGCGAATACGAATTAATACGAAGTAGATAATCAATGCGGGGAGATTTCAAGATTTTTTAAGATTTTCAAGATTTATTGATAACGCTCAGACACATACATGTGTAACATGAGGTCAAAGTATAATACATAAGCAATTGAATGACGAAATGAGCATGCAGTACTATTTAAACACATAGAAATACATTTGTAAATATTTTAGAATAAACAAGCAATTTTCTTAATAAATAATGATAGTCGTTTGTAGACTTCCATATTACATATGGACAATAATCCCTCCATTTTAATGTATTGCGGATTAATAGTATAATATCTAGGTAAGTATTGGTTTCTATAATTAACAATAGAATCATGCTGACATACAAATAAAATATGAATTTCATCACCAACAAATTTATGACATAATGTACATATTCTTTCTGGTCTAGGTATATTTTGCCAACGGCCTGTCTCGATTGGAATACGTAAGTTCGATGTCCTTAATTTAGTTACCCACCCTCTGTTCTGTTCAGATAGTCTGATCAGATATTTTTCTAATCCAAAGTCCTTTTTAAATGTCCCATAAAATTGTCCCCGAGATGAATTTTCTATATTCCCAAACCATGAGGTAATAAACTGATCACTCAATATTCGGTCGAGATAATTTTTATCACAAAAGCCAATTTGATTCATGAAAATGTATCCTAGACCAGTGTTGTTAAATATTGATTCTACAGAATCAATCCATTTGAAAGCATAATGACCATGATTCTTCAATGATAACATCAGCCTGAACAAAGCACTACTAAGTTTACTACTATTGTTTACAACTTTACACCAATACGAAATCATTCTACATTTAACTCGAATTTGCAGAGGAAATCTTCCCAATTCTCCATACACCATAAAATTGGGTGTAGTATTTCGAACTTTTAAAATTCTTTTGCAATATTTCAAATGCATCTGTTCAATAATTTTCAAATTCTCAAAACCCCAAACTTCAGAACCATATAAAAGAATTGGTTCTATCATGGAATCAAATAATTTCAGTTGCAAATCTATAGGAATGTTTTCGTTTCTAACAATTCTTTGTATAAAATGCAACGATTTTTGTGCTTGATCAATAAGTTTCTTTTTGGTATCTAAAAAAGTACCGTTATGTTTAAAGATAACACCTAAATAAGAAAATTTTTCAACAATCTCAAGTTCTTT